CAGCAGGGAGCGCACAAAGCTCTTGCTTTAATGCTCGCTGCTGGTCTTCGAAACTAACTGCCAGCTTGCTTTTAGGGAGGAAACCTTTGGGTCGTGCCAGCTGGTGCAGTGTGGTGAATAAGGTTTGGGTGCCTGTGTGAAACTCCGCAGGGGCGGTTTGGTGGGGAGCCGCAGCCGGTGGAAATCCTAGCTCGGGGGGGACTCAGTGGGGTTGCTCCGGGGTTGTTCAAAACACCGATCCCATGGGATGCGGAGCAACGTCTGGGGAGGAGATGGTCCCGTCAGCAGCACGCAGGAGCCCATCCTGGGAAAGGTTTGGTGCAGGGCTGTGTGCGCGCAGGCACCCATCGCTCCTCTAAAGCAATAGGCTGAAATGTGGTCTTGCAGAAAGAAAAAAAAGCTGATAATGCTTTATGCCAAGCAGTTTAATTCTAGTTAAGAAATAGCCCTTTGACGGCAGCCTGTTTTTATGTGCCTACAGAAATGGTACAAAATAGCTGTTTAAATGTGTCTCGCTCTGTTTTGTCTGAACCCTCGAATTAACCTCCCTCTTAAAATAATAGTCAGGAAAAGATCTTCTGCAGTCTGAGCCATCCTGTGCTGAGCTGGAGCTCATCATGGGGACTGGAGGCTAGCTAAATGTGTGAAATTAAGGTTTTATAATTACAACACTGCAAAACTTGCTCCTCCTGGTGTTTTTGACCTCGAGGTGTTGACGGCGCTTGATATGAATTGCGGAGAGGCTGTTGTGAACTGTCCGGGGGTGTAGGTTTTTGGAGGGTAGCGTCGGCTTTATTCTATTCTGGGAATGTCAGCATATGTGTGTTTGTGTGCCCTGGGAGGGGGAGAAAATAGCGATATACTCATTTAATCAAAGCCAACAGAATGGCAATAAGCTTGTCCTCAATGGCTTTGCCCACAAGGCGGCAGTGGGTGACAGCAGGAGCGGCGCGTCACCCGCACCAGCAGTCCCTGCCGTGCCTGAGCATTAATATTGATGCTGTCCAGGTGGTACCAAGATTGAGTTGTAGTGACAAGAGTATGTGCCGAGATCCTTTTGCCCTAGGGGCTTTAGAGTAATGGCCATATGTCTCGGTCCAGCAATTGTTTCCACCGTGCAGATGGAAGACCGAAGTGGCTTTGGCATATTAGATTCATCTGTTTTATGTCCCTCTTCACCTTTCTGCCTCCCAACGCCTTCTGTTTTTATGAGCAAACTTCAGTAACAACATAGATGTGGCTGCAAGATTGCTCGAAGGACACGGTCTTTGAGCAGGACCAATTTTCCCTGCTTCTGAGCTGCTTTTGTCATCAACGTTTTCAGCAGAAAACACAGTTTGACTCTATCAAAACATGCTCCAGGAGAACCGCTGACTTCTGTAATAATTATTTTTTTCTGAGCTCTTTTTCCCTTTTACCTGTGCAGGGTCAGTAGCTCTGGATGAACGCACTTTGTACACAGATCGTTTCACTCCTGATTTTCAGGAGCGCGTTAACGCCCCTATCTGTGAAACCCTGTTGCTGATGCTGGAGTTTGTGCAGGGCTTCCTGGGGCTATAGGTAGAGACATTAAAGCCGCTAAGGGGAAGTTAAGAGTGATTTTCATTTCTTGCTGGAAACAGGCTGCTTGTAGCAGTGCATGGCTCAAAAGGAACCTCAACGGACCCTTCGGGTCCTCTGTTGAATGTCGGTGGCGTGCCAGAGGAAGAAATGGGGGGCTTTATTTACAGTCTTGTTTGCAGGGTTTCCTAGTGAGGGAGGAGTTGGTGATCGGCAGAGATCAGATGGAAGGATATAAAGTATGCTTCGTTAGGATGTTTCCTTATCTGTACCAGATGCCTTCTCCACAATCTCAAAGGCATTGTGAGGTGAAAAAAGAATCGATTTGGCTGAATGGAGGTGAAGTTCTGAAATCCATCTTTATAACTCTGCTTCCTGTTTGCTTTCCTACAGGTGAAGTGGAAAGGGAAGGACCTGTTTGATCTAGTATGCAGGACACTAGGACTCCGAGAAACCTGGTTCTTCGGGCTGCAATACACTATCAAGGATACGGTGGCTTGGCTCAAAATGGACAAGAAGGTTGGAACCAAATTTCCCTTGAGAGGTCGTGTGGGATGACAAAGGCGAATGTACTTTTTTCCTTTCTTTGATTACCCGAGGTTGTGTTATGTGTGGTATCAAAGTGAACTGCGTGAAGTGTATTTAAATCTCATCCCCATGGCATCTGTAGTCAAACGGGGAAGAGCTGGCAGAGATACCCCACCCCAGCTCCTTCTGAGCTGTGAAGCCTCAGACCATGCACACTGAATGCCCTTGAGGCATTTTGGAGACAGCCATGCTGAGATGCTGGACTTCAGGGTGACTGTAATGCAAATGAAACATAAAAGTCTCTCTTCCTATGCCCATGAATGACAAAACCTTTAGCAGAAAAGTGAAGTTGCATCTTGGCTTTTTTTGTTGTTGAGATATACAAAGAGCTAGGGAGGAGGTAAACCAGAGGAGTGAAAAGGAGATAGAGATAAGGGAGGAAACCTTCCCAAATATGCAAGCCTCAAGGTTGCTGAGGGGTGGGTTAGAGAAGTGATAGATGTGGTTCTGTTTGCATCCAAACGATGTTACACTAAAACCAGACGGTAATCGAGACTGTGAGGGAGGTCTGGGTGTCTCGCATGTCATGCCAAGGTTTTAAACTAACATGAATCTGAACTGGACTGTGCCAGCACAATAGAAAGGTAGCGAGGAACAACACTGAAATACAAGAAGAGGCAGTGCAGGGAAACAACGAGAAAGTCGTATGGTGGCGTAGCAGGATACAGCATCTCTCTGTGAGGTCCGGTAGAGGCAATGTGCACGCAGCAGATCAGGATCAACCTTTGCTGTCTCATTTTGCATGCCGTTTGTTTCTGCCTTGTTTGTTTTCTTGCATTGTTAGGAGTGTCAGAAATGTTTGTTTTTTTAACTATGTTTAGTTTTCTTTTTTTAACTATGGTTTCTGAACTACTTAGGTTGGTTTGTCTGTTCTAGATGTCTAAAGCGCTTGACAAAAGATGTGCTGATCTGAACAGTAGGGAGCTATGTCTTGGCTCCAAGAGACGGAGTGCTGAAGAAGCTGAAAGAGTAGCTGAATGGCTCTTGTATCCTACAGGTTCTGGATCACGATGTTCCGACAGAGGAGCCTGTCACCTTTCACTTCCTGGCCAAATTTTATCCTGAGAATGCAGAGGAGGAACTGGTCCAGGAAATCACACAGCACTTGTTCTTCCTGCAGGTAAGAGCCGTGTCAGTACACTGTTTTCCAACCCAAGGGAGAAGGAACCAGGATGAGTAGAAGTGTGAGAAGGTTCCAGGGTCAGAAAGTTGGTCAGCAGAGTGTGGATCCTCATCGTTATGTTCACACCTTTCTGAAGGAAGTTGTCTTCAACAACAAGAACTTCTTGAAATAGGTCAAAGATGGTTTGTCTGGATGAAGCAGGCGCAGATGCCCAGACTTGCGGACCTCGTAAACTGGCTGTCAGGAATGATTAGGTGATTTGTAATACTAGTGTGTGGTAGCTAGGGGAAATGAATCTGTCAGATGTTGGCTTGAATGACACACACAGCCTTGGAGTCCACCTCTCTGCAGGGTGTGGATATCAATTGTGCTGAGGGACAGCAATTGCCTTTGTACATGATAGCATTGTTATGTGAAGCAGGGGAATTTGATCCTCGAGAACAGAATGCAGCCAACCTGTTTCATGTTCAGGCTGTACAGCAAGGTTCACCTCTTCGCAAAACAGCCTTCAAATAACTGGAGCAGAAGAAAATCCCAGAAGTACAGCTCCGTCAGAGACTGATGGCAAAAGCAGAGGAGAGGGGGAATCCTAAACAGTCCCCCCTGCCCCAGTAACTCTTGCCCTTACGTTAAGCATTTGGAAACTGTGGTGAATGCATCTTCAGGCTTTTTTCTTCTGTATTTAAAGTACGCTACAAAACTTCATGTCCTGAGAAATTAGCTCAGCTGATGTTGCTGTAGCAGTGCCGCATGGCTGGTAACAAAGAGCTTCTGTCACAGGAGCTCTCTTTCAGACAAGATCAATTTTCTGAAACAATTTCCTATAAAGGGTTGTGTCAACTACGGTTACAGGGCGTAGACTAGTCCTAGTCAGACCCCTAGGTTCTTATTGGGATGTTTCAGCTGCTCTGTGGCTGTTAATTTGAAGTTTCTAAAATAAATAAGTTATAAAAATAAAAAAAGATCTTATGTTTGTTACACCAAAGTAGAGGCAACCTGCATTTGGATGCTCTTGGACATACCAGGGTAGACTTCAGTGTGCCCTGCCCTTTCAAATGGATATCAAAATGAGCTCACCAGCTTCTTGGTACTCTGCAGTCTTCCAAAGTTCATCTTTGTTCTTCACAGCTAAAGGAGTTCTAAATGCAAAGTATTGCTGTTAATTTCCAGGGTCTGTCTCATGCACTAGTGTCTCCATAGGGCTGTTTTTAAATGTCTGATTTGCCATGGACTTTATCCTTGATGAGGAAAAATGCTGTTGGCATCTTTGAAAAGGAAAATCAGAGACGAAAAGCAGTTAAAGCTACATTTTATGAATGCAGACCGTGACTTTTCTACTAGGATTTCTGATGATGAGAGGAGCCTGGGCTCCTGTAACACATATGGGAAATGGGAGCCCACGTAAGCTTGCAAACTCTCCTGTTTTTATCTTAATGCAGGAGAATATCTTCTGTGATTATGTTGTAACCAACTTTGAGGACTCAAAGCATGTTATAAATTTAAATTGATGTTACTGCATCTCTGTGACAATCCATTTAAGTCTCCCAGGAAATAGTATGGGTTTTTCTCTATCTTTATTCAGGAAAATTAAGTGTGCAAAACCAAAAAATATCGAACATGACAGGTTTAATTTTTTAATGCACAGAAGCCAGGAAATGTAAAGCTGTGGCTTTTGGGAACTGCACATTGGCTCTCCTGGGAGTGTGCACAGGGCTTGTGCCTGCTGCTAAAAGCACTGCCACGGAGCAGCTCTCCTTGCTGCCGGTGGGATTGGAGGGAATTAGCCTCGAGCACAGGTGAGCACTGACTCATTATGAGGCCTGAATATCCCAGAGCAAAACCTTTGTGTGCTCAGAGACTTGGCTGCAAGCTTCTTTTTTTAGTTTAGTGGTGTGTATAGATGTTGTATCAATCCATAGCTTATACCTTAAGAGGTTTTATCTCTGTGTTTACATGCAAGACTTTCCGCCCCCCCTTGCCTTTAGCAATAGGATATAGGTTCTGTCATTTTCCACGTATAAATTTAGCTCTTCTCGCAAACCTGTGTGAAAAAGGTGGCCCATGAAAGCCTGAGCCCTTCCCTTCTGAGCCACCAGAGACTTCCTGGGCCTGAATTGTAATTAGTGTTAGGAAAATTGTTAACTGTGTGGTTGACAGCTCAAGTTAAAACAAACTGCAGCCATCTGCTGTGACAGTCGTGTTTTGCACTGCTCCACTAAATGTGTGTTATGTGTCCTTTACTGCTACATGCAGGTGAAGAAGCAGATTCTGGATGAGAAGATCTACTGTCCTCCTGAAGCTTCTGTCCTGCTGGCCTCTTATGCTGTCCAAGCCAAGGTAGGCACAGAGGGATTCTCCAAGGGCCTGCTGACGTTGGCGATGGGTTAGCATCGCTCCTGGGAAGCGAGGCGCTTTGTGATGTACCTGCTTTCTGAGGAAGGGGAAGGCAGGGAAAGTTGTTGAAACTTGGGAACTGAGGGGACTATATGAGCGCTACTTCCTTCTCCGCATGGCTGGTTCCTGGCTACCTTCAGGCATTGGACAGATTTTTGCTTTCTCTTTCCAGGATTCTTTAGCAAGCGCTCAGCTTATGAGCTGCAGTGCTTGCTCAAGTGTGGCTTACTACTGGAGCAGGTGAATTCCCTGAGCCCGTGCTTTTTTGGATCTCTTCCCTGCTCTTGCCATTGTAGCCAGAGGCAAACCAGCCGTGGAACTCGCAGCTCCACTGCTCCCCCAGAATACTTGTCATCATGATAACTGCTTTATTTTGAGTGCTACAGCTTGCCACATAAATGTTATTGCAGTGTTAAAGGGCTCTTCCTGGCTTCTCCCTTTATCTGGGTTTTGATCTTGGGTGTTTGGCCTCACTAGACAGAGGAAGAAGTCAATGGTTACTAAGTTCTCCTCGTTCCTCAGTTGAATTCTGCTCTGGACCCGGAGTCAGTGTGTTTTGCTGAGCATTTATTTAAGAGAACGCTGTTTTTCGGGCTGGAGCATGCAGCCTCGGACAGCTTGCAGCAGCCCACAGCAGAGGGACTCCTGGGATAGAGGGAGCAGCCCAAGGTTCAGAAGTGGGGACGTTCTTGCAGGAGGGAAAGTAATTTATCCCTGCATATGCACAACATGTACTGCTGCTCAATTAACAAGTCTTCTAGCTAATCGCCGGTTTATGTAAAGATAATGTCTTTGGAGAAGGAGTGACTGGAGTCTGATCGCAGCCCAGCTACGTTATTGCTGTAACCTCGTGGTCGGTTCTGACTCTGTGGATGCAATTCAGGGATGCATTTTGGCTCGCAGGTAGGTGGCCGTGCCCTGGGTCTGGCCCGTCTGCCTGTCCTTGAGGAGCACGACTGTCGAGCAGTTTAGAAGAGGCAGGGTAGCTCTTAGCTGACAGTGCAGGAGGGGGGCTTTGGCTCTCTTGCCTGAAGAGAGGGCCTGATCCAGGCTGGTTGGAAACAGAGGCCAGTCCTCGGTGTTTCACCATGGCTTTTTCTGGGTTGATGTATAATCTTCCTCATAACCCTTTAGTCCACGCCTGGTTTGTCTGAACGCAGTCCTGGGTAACGTGCAGCAGTGTTCTTTGATGATGAATGTTTGAATTTACTAGAAAAAGATGTTTTGTCCTCCTAGTCAGAATATTGATGAAACCGTATTTTGTTTGAGAGACTCATCAGCCAGGGAAAGACAAGTTGCTTTTAGAAATGTTTCTATTTGTGTGAAACATTCATCACTCTAATAAGAGTGCATGAGTAAACACTTACTTGGCTTTTTCTCCATTGACCTGCTGAGCTGAGGATACATAGGGGATGACTTTTCCTGTTGCCAAAATGAATAAACCATTGGGTAAATATTGAGCGCTATTAACTCTTGGCCGTGACAGCTTCTGGTCGTGTGATCAGGAACAGGCTGTAATTTGGTACAGGACTGTTGTGCCCTCCCCTCTGTCTTCTTGCAGCTCGACTGCTGACCTTGCGCTCAGTAGCACAGTTGACGTGCTCGACACTCGGTCGTCTGGAGGAGGTCAGCCAGAGTCAGAGCAGTTCTCCTAACCTTGCACGTCTTGATTCTGCCCAGAGATTGTGAGAAGGTGGAAGAGGGATGCCTTTTCTGATCTTTGCTAATGTGCTTTCATGTCTGCATCAGACATCGCTTTTCCTTGCTGCTCCTCCAGGCAGGGTTTCCCCTTCTGCTTTTTCTTCAGCAAAGGAGAAAGCTGAAAGCACGTCTTCGGTACGGAGCTGGGAAGAAAGATGTTGCAGGTCATCTCCTTCCAGTTAAATAGGATAATGATGTCCTTTCTGGACAAGAAAGCGGCCACTGAGCATAGTAATTTCGCTAATAACGTGCTGATTTGCATGATTAGGGGCATAATAGCCTGACATAGCGGTGTGTTTGCATCTGATATAGCCATTTGATTGACAGCCAGGTTGGTTTGTACTGTTGTTGCGCACCTACCTGCAATAACAAAGTAAGCGTGTGGGTCATAAAAACAAAAGCTTATTTATTTCTATATCATTGTGTTCATTTGGGGAATTACTATGTGTTTTCCCCTCTAGCCTTGCATTCAAACCACCCACACTGCTTTCAGATGTTGGAGGCGGTTCAGGTTTTAAATAGCCGGGAGAGACGTGGAATCTACTGAAAAGTGTGTCCTGGTAGAAAATAGTAATGTCCAGGAGGTTCTTCCATTTCTTGTCCCTTAAATGCAGACCGCTGCTGTGCTGCAGCCCTCTCAGCACAGCAAATCTTGCAGCACTAGCAAAGGGTTCTTTTATTTACTTACTTATTTTTTCCCCAAAACAAACAATACTTGGTGTTAATAGTTTGAAGCTGAACATGCCTGTGTTTATCCAGGACAACGTCAGCCAGGTGTATGAATGAGGTAAAGGCAACTTCCATGTGTAACCATGAATATTAATCATATAGTTCAATTAACAGGAGCTGAAATTCCATGACAGTTTTGAAGTAATGATTTAATTGAAAAGGTCTTTAAAAGTATGTTTGCCAAATCATTTGAGCCAACATATACTGCAATACTTAAGCCATTTGTTGATTTTTGACTTGTGAATAATTAATGTTCTCATCCAGACTCCCTCTCAGTACAAATATTCCTTTGGGACATGGCAATATTTTTCACCACATGAAAATCACATAATCCATACTTAGTCTTGGATCTCCACGGTAGATCACAAGAGAAAATAATCGCATTAATCCTATTTGCTATTATTTTCATCACCTAAAAATGATTTATTTTCTGCTTCTCCAAGGTTATTGGAGTTGTTTCCTTTGCCAGTGCCACGTTTTTATTGCTGTTCCCTTTTGATGTGGGTTCAAGGGATGTGTACCTGCAATGTGCTGCTTTCTGAGGAGCTCCAAGCTTCTGTAGACCTTGGAAGACAGACAGTTGCTGCTGCTCAGCACCCTCCCGAATGAAATCCCTGGCAGTTTTGTTATATTAATTGAAGTCTGAGTCAGTGTTGATTGTTGCATGCTTCCTTCGCATCTGCATTGGCTCCAAATCAATATTTGCATCTTTAATCCCTGCTTGTCGTTTATGAAACGTTGCTCGCTGGGCTGCGGAGAGAATGTATGTGTAGACTTTTGATGCTGAGCTCTGGTTTTAGCATACAACGTGATGGTTCTGGCATTAAAAGGAGGCTGATACAGAAAGCTTCCTGACTTATTGCATGACCATCATGTGTGTCACCATTTTGTACTTCCTGAGCTGAGGTTCTTCAGAAAAGCAGGGAGGGAAGGGCTGTCTCCCTTGCAAAATGAGTGACTCGCGCAAACGTTGCCGTGTCTTGTGTAATCGGGTAATGTCACTGCAGAAGTCCTGTTTGCCAGGTGAATTAAAATCGCAGCATTTCGTGTACGTGCCTCACATCCATCGTCCTCTTCTCTTCAACTTGCTAGGTTATTTGAGGTGCCATTTTCTGGCGGTTTCCTGCTCTCTTAGGCTGTACAGGAGGTAAATTCATTTTCACATGCACTGCAGGGACACTCAGCTTTTCAATCTGTTAATAAGCAGTTGTATTTCTCAGTCACTTTATATGCTGCTCAAAAAGATGTAAATCTAAACAAATACTGGTAATTACTGGATGCACTTAACAAATCTGAATTGGATTCCGTGACCCAGCTCAGCACCAGACCCTCTGGCAGAAAAGCCGACACCTGCCTAAGAGGAGTCTGTCAAACTCCTGTCATTTTTTTTTTTTTTTAATATTTGTTCATCAGGGTGGTGAGCAGTGACAGAGAAACTGCTGTCTGCCTCACCTGAATTACTGGTATTGATCAGTCATTGGGGACAGGTCTTTGCCCATATCTTAACTCCCTGTCCCACTACTGGTGGGAGGGCAAGGACCTCTCGACTATAGAGTGAGTCTTTCCTTGCATCGGAGGAAATGTCTTCTGGGCATGGTAATTAGAGTAGAATAGAATAGTTCAGTTGGAAGGGACCTACAATGATCATCTAGTCCAACTGGTGGATGTCAACTGATGGTGGGAAGTTTTGTTCTGCTTCTACCTCTGCTGTATGAGTAGAAGGAGAGTGTTGTTTTCTTTGTCATTTGATTGCTAATAGAAACTATGGTTATTAAATTTACCGAGCAGCATACGTTCTCTGCTCTAACAGGTTGTTACGTGAAGGGTGTAAGCAGTCTGCATTTGCTCTCTCCCCAAGGGGTGGATGTGTAAGCGTGAAGAGTTTTACTTGCCTGTGTTGTTAACGTGGGGTGGGCATGATGTCTGTGCTTCTTTCCAGTATGGCGATTACGATCCCAATGTCCACAAGCGAGGCTTCTTGGCGCAGGAGGAGTTGCTTCCAAAGCGGGTAAGGAGCTTGGCCAAGTGGAGGAGTAGGTTCCCAGGCTTGGTGGTGTTTTGTGTAACAGAGCTTTTTGCAGAGAAGGTCTCTGTGGGACTGCCTGCGGGGTGCATGCTGCTTCGCTCGGGCTTCCTTACCAAGGCAAACAATCCAAAAAGATGTATTGAGGGAGGAGAATTCAAACTCTTTCTGACATATTTTAATAAAAACCAGAAGCAAATGTTTTCATTCTTTTCATGGTTTCATCCTGCCTGCATCTCCTTGCGATGGCCTAGGGACAGTTTGCCTGTGCTGCGTGCTTGGGAGGGTTGAGTGAGCGCTGGGCAATCACAGGGCACAGTGCTGAGCGTGCCCTGCTGAGAGTTGCTTGCCTTGAGGTCAGACGTGGTGCTGGGCAGGGGTTGCTTGGGACTGGGGTGTTTCTGGCTTGTTTGCTGGCTAAGGAGACTGTGACAAGAGCGGCAGTGTGACCTGGTCTCTGTCTCCCTGTGTATCTCAGGTAATAAATCTGTACCAGATGACTCCAGAGATGTGGGAGGAAAGGATAACAGCCTGGTATGCAGAGCACCGAGGCAGAGCGAGGTGAGTGTGTGCTGCAGTGGTGGGTCAGGGTCAGTCCCCTCGCCTGAAGAGTCACCAGGGTTTGGGGAGCTTGGGCAGGTGATGGATGAGCTCTGCTGACAGCAGGGTTAATCCCAGCACACCTCTGTAGCAGACTTGTGAAGGGCAAAGGGCTTTCTTTGATTGCTCTGTATGTGCCCTGCTGTCCCCTGGTCACTGACAGGGTCCTTGAGAGAATTTAGGACTGATGCTCAGTAGGGGACCACCTGCAGAGGGGCAGGGAGGCAGGCAATCCTGCCTGCCTAGGGGGTCAGGGTGCTTTTTGGGCCAGGAAAAGAAATGGGGATTCAGACCGATGAGGCGTATTGCTGCCTTGAGTGGTAAAATGCTCCTTGTGGGGGATAAGCCTGGAGTCAGATGGATCTGAAACAGGGGCCTCCCAGCCAGGGATTTCCTATTTATGCTTAAGGGATTGGGAGATGGACAAAGCAAGACTTGAAGTGCTGCATCTCGCTAGGCAGGCGTCAGCGGCCATTAAGATGCTGGCAAGCTGCAGAGTGGGATTTGCTGTTGGACTTTATTGATCCTGCCAGCAAAGACGGGCTTGACCTGTGCGATAGAGACAGTCTAGGCTTTAAAGCCTTGTGTGTGCTTAGGATCAGAAAGAGCAGCCATCTCCCTCTCTCTGATCCTACCAAACATCGTAATACTGGCCTTTTTTTGTCTGACAGAGATGAAGCTGAAATGGAGTATTTGAAGATAGCTCAGGACTTGGAGATGTACGGAGTGAACTATTTTGCGATTAGGGTGAGTGCAGGTTGTGGATCATGTTTTCTTGCCGGCATAGCTCTTGTGTTAGTCTTCGTCTTTTGTGTTGCTGTGAGATTGGATGAGTGGAGCCTTGGAGAGCCAGCAGACCTGGGAGATGGCTGCGGCGCGTTGTTGAGAGTCCCTGCTGCAGTGTGCTTTGCTGCTAGCTGCAGGGGACGCAGAAGCTCTTTTAATATGCGGTGCTGGTGGGTCACTGCTCAGGGCTGGTTGATGAAGCTAACAATGGTTCACGTCAGACCCTCCGAGTGGAATAAAAGGGTTTTCTGCTCTTTTCTTTCCTCCTGTAGAATAAAAAGGGCACTGAACTGCTCCTTGGAGTTGACGCCTTGGGTCTTCATATTTATGACCCAGACAACAGGTTGACCCCTAAAATCTCCTTCCCATGGAACGAGATCCGGAATATCTCATACAGCGATAAAGAGGTATGGATACGTCTCCCCTCTTCCCTGAGAGCAGTAAGAACACATTTGCGATTTAAAATTATTTCTCTTAGCTTCTCTGTCTGCTGTGCTTGCTATCACCAGCTTAGCTAAGGGCAGCTCAGCTTCTCTAATTGAAACCTTAATTCCAAGCCTTTCTGAAACTTTCCAGGAGTGGGCGTACAAGAGGTCAACTGGGAGCTATTCTCCTGTTTGGTTTTAGAGTACATTCAAACCCTCTTATGTAATTTTTTTCAAAAAAGACCAAAATTGCTGTTGATGTGCTTAGCCCAAATATCAGAGTTCAGAAGTTGACATCTGCTTTACTGTATGTTACTGTGTATATGAAATATAGTGAGATGTATTCCTGGTGAGAAGAGCTCTTGCCTCTTGCCATATCATTACATCATCTTCAGTTTTCAGACTGCTGGGCTTGGCATAACAGCTGGAATCTTTTTAGGAAGTTGAGTAATTTAAGCCTGCTATTGGATAGATATTTATTAAATCCAGAGTGTAAATATGAATCTTCTGAATTGTTGGCCACCAAACCTAGTTGAGAACAGCAATGAAATTGGCTGTGGAGGGAAAACTGATTGGCTCAATTTTCAATCTAAGAGAGCTGCTCAAAGAAACCAGCTGCTGTCATGGTAAGGAAGAAAATTAACTTCTTAATTAAAAATTGTTTTCTAATCTAAACATGATATTGATCAGGGTGAAAGCTAAAGGTTTCTCATCAGCTGCATTTATTGCATGTCTTGTGAAGTTTTATAAGTAGTAAGGCCGTGCTGGAATTCTCTTCACTTGTTTTATTCCTTAAATATAAAGAGCTTCACAACTCTGCAAAACAGCCCAGCACTTAGTGACTTTCAAAGGCTTTCCTGCCCATGACAGACGAGTGCAGTGGAAGCTGTCTGCTCAGGCATTCCTTCAGAAGTCTGGGGCTTGAAGCCTCCATAACCAGGCCTTGACAAAAGACTGTAATAGAGCTTTCTCTTGGGGGAAAGGACTGCCACCTTCCATCAGGTCAGTCATCTGCGTAGGAAGATGACCACAGGTAGACCTGACGTGATAGTAAACAGGCTTACTTAATGGCTGGGTATGACAGCTATGTTAACACAACAGAGGGGTTTAATCCATCGTAACAAAGATTGACTGTTTATGTGGAACTGAAATTCCTCTCCTGGCATATTTGTGCTGTTGCTCTCAATGACTGGTGTGGGTTCTGCTGGAGCCTGAGTCCAGGGACGTTCACGCATGTCTGCCTGTGTGAAAGTCTTAAAAGATTGGCTCTTAAACTGACAAAGCAAAACACTGCCAGGGCGAGTTCTGCTGAGCCCTTTTCAGGCAGTACAATGTATTGACAAATAGACCTACTTTAATGGACACAGACTGCCTGCTCGAGTGCTATCTCTTCAGCTGGTTATTTCTGTAACATGTGGGGGAGTGATGAAATAGATGCATGCCTTCTAAAAAATGCGGTGTTGCGGAGCACTCCATCTCTTCAAGTATCCTTTCGTTAGTTCGGAGTCGTCTGTCTATCCAGGGGCTGTATTACTGAAACTCTCGAGTCTGGCGATGCCACCTATATCCTCTTGAGAGACCTGCTGTGGGAAGGCTCTTTGGAGAGGGTAAACCCAGGCCATGGTTACAGCTGTTCGGTTGGCACGCGGAGTGTAAATACAAGTTAGAGCGAGGGAATAGTATTTTGAATTGCGAAGCAGTCTTATGACATGGCTGGCTTCTGGAGAACAAAATGCGTGGAAAATGCTTTTGGGGAGCCCTTGCAAGTGGAGCTGTCAATAGGAAGGACAGCAGCTCCTGTTGCTGTGTTCCTAATGCAACCCTCTTGCCCATTCATTGGGCAGCTGGGCTGGTTCTTCCTCCGTTCAGAAGTGTCATGAGTTTCTGCTGTACCTTCTCTGTTCTCTACAGCTGCCAGGAGAGCAGCATCTTGCCTTTCCTCCGGAGGTGCTGAGCTGTCTCTGCAAGGTGCTTTGCAGAGGACACTGGCTGTCGGGCATTGCAGTCTGTAGGTGGACAGCACTCTTACTGCTTCTGTGTGGCACTCGCTTTTTTTCTGACCGGAGGAACAGTTGTCTCCTTGGTTGCTTTTGATACTAGTTCTCTTGCTTGGCTAAAAGCCACGGGGACAGCTCTCAGCCTTGTTTGTCTGACACTGCTGACCTCCTCCGAACCAAAGCTTTCAGTAAGACTTTTATAGCTGTGTTTTTATTAAATGCACTGCTCTCTGATAACTCTCTCCCTCTTTATTTTTTCCTTTTCAGTTTACGATTAAGCCATTGGACAAAAAGATTGATGTTTTTAAATTCAATTCATCAAAACTGCGTGTGAATAAGCTGGTAAGTCTAGAGACAGAGTAATTTTTATTGCCTGCAGCAGTAGTTTCTTTTGGGGCTTTTCCTTTGAGCAGCTGGACAGAGTGTGCTGGTCTGGCTGGACTGTAGATGTGATTTGGTATAGCAGTTACTACTCAGTCATAGCCACTAGAAGAGAAGGGGGAAGCTCAAGTCAAGCTCCTTCACAGAACCTCTTCCCACTCTCCTGTTTTTGTGCTCCCTTTCTGAGCTCTCGGGTTACAGCTGACCTGCGTGGTGGAAGCACTTAGTAAGTAAAACTTTCTTGTCACCCTCATCTTTGCTCCAGATCCCCCTTCTTCTCCTGCGGATCTTTTCCATTCTGCCCTGTGACATAGATCTCCCTGTTTTGGGATGTACCATTATCAGAGTCGCAGTCCTGTTTTTTTCCTAGGCTGATCCCTTCTGAGGACACTCACCTTGTACAAGGATGGAGGGGGCTGTGTTGAGCTGTTGTGTTCAGCATCCATGTTAGACACCAGCTATAGCTAGATTTGGTATCTGGAGGAGTTTTGATCCAGATTCTGTAGTAGCTGTGCACCATGTTAAGTCACATGAGGGACCTGCAGAAGGCAGAGGGGAATATTTTTCCCATCCTTATAAGAGAGGGAGGGGAACTTTGCTGTTCTGGTTATAGGCTGTCCTGTATTTCACGTGCCATAGGGAAGTGGGGCTTCCCGACAAAGGTCTCATTCGCTGCACTCATCAGTTTCATAGTGCTGTAGCTCCTCTGACTCCAGAGAAGTCATTTGTGACTTGTGAAATGGAAGACGGGCATGTGAATCAGTCCTTTAGAAAAGAATCCAAGTTTAGAAACCTGCTTTTATTGCTGAAAAGAACTTTTGCTCTTCTGTATACCCACTGCTTTGCTAACCCTCCTGTAGTATTGCCACCTTCCTTGTGCTCCTTGAGTACCAGAGGAAACCACATTGGTGCTCAAAACCCTTCAGCAAAGGTATCTGAAGATGTCCAAGGAGGTTTTTGATAAACCTTCTGTCTGTCCAAGATGGAAAGTGGGTTTTCTTTTTTTTTAAATCTCAGTGCTTTAAACATGCAGTTGGGAGAAGGTGCAAGTTCATCTTAAACGTAAAGAAAGGGGGCAGTGAGAACCAGGGAACCAGTCAGAGCTGTAGAAGTCTTTGTTTCATTATTTGGCCTAATGCTTGCCAGAACCGTGCTGTGCTGGATGCACAGAAAATAGAAAACTGGTCTCTGCAAAGACCTGATAGCCCGGGAGCTGGTGTTTGGTGTGGGATTTGGCTATGCCTTGGCTCCCTGCGCCTCATATGGGTATGAGAGCTCATAGGGTTTGAGATCAGTGGGTGGAAGTGCTTACAAGCACCAAACCAAAGCAGTTCTAGTGTTTTTGTGTGTCAAGAATACAAACTACCTCATCGTCATCATGTGTACAGCTGTTTCTCTCCACTCTTCACCCTTGACTGGAATAGATTCTTCAGCTGTGTATTGGAAACCACGACCTCTTCATGAGGAGGAGAAAGGCAGACTCGTTGGAGGTCCAGCAGATGAAGGCACAGGCCAGGGAGGAGAAAGCCAGGAAGCAGGTGAGAGACATCTCATATAACTAGACCGTGAGCCAAAATCAGAAATGCAAATGAACTTGGGAAGGAACAGTCTCCAGAATGATATCAAGCACATGGAGCAGCTTTGAGGGAAGGTCCAGCTGAACATCTCTTTTTAGTAGCCTGCTCCCACCTCGCCAGTCATTCTCAGCTTGGCTCTGTAGGTTGATGGCAGCCTGAGTCCTACCCCCACACTTGGGAACAAAACCGGGAGGACAGGAGGGAAGAGCTGATCTGGGTGTCCTACAAGTGTGTGTGTGTATCTTCCTTGCCTCGGTTTATGCCTGCGCTCCGTAGCTGGAAAGATGTAGTATGTTGGGGTAGTTGCTTGTAATTAAAGCAGGGGTTGTGAGGGGGAGCTGTGCTTTGCCGTAGTTCTTCGCCTCGTTTTCTAATTACATGGTGATGGAATGCACGACGACATTTCGGGGTGTGCAGCCTGCATGCTAATTCGGTGCTGGCCTCCTTTATCTGCTGCAGGTCAGTCCAGGCGGCGAAAACGGCTCTTTGGAGGCAGCAGCGTGTAGCCGATGAGCATATATCAGCAAATTGGATTGTATGAATCATTGTTTTCTGCTCGTAGACCTTTTCTACTCACTGCAACCTGCACAGCTAATCTGAGTACTGGTGCTTAGAATATAAATGTCCCTTTCGCAATAAAGCCGCTAGATAGCAGCAGAAGAAACCAAAGCAGTCGCTTGCACCCAGGAGGGCCTTATGCTCAAGGGACTGCTAAGTTAATGGATTTGTGCATGTCCACAGAGGTGCCTGCATGGTGCTGGACTTGGTGTTGAGGTTCTCAGCTGACCTGGAGATGTGACATGGCTTGTCTTGCAGGCACCTCCTGAAGCAGTTCTCATTCCTGTAGCTTGTGGGGTGGCAGGACAGGACAGGACATGAATCACTATGAGGGTAACCAGGCTAGCTCCTCTGGGGCAGGGGGGCTTCTTGCTTCTCATGGGCATTCCTCTGGTCAGTGAGGAGTTGGCATTAGTGGAGGAAAAAGTCTTCCTTGGAAGGAGCAGTGTGGTGTCCAAGCACTGGTGGCTTCAGGGACAGGTTTTACAATCTTGTGAGTTTTTAATATATTTGAATAACGCCAGCAAGACCTGAGATCCTGCGCTTAGTTGGGCTGCTGGGAGAGGTGAGGGCACTGAGGGTGAGCAGAAACTTATTGCTTTGCATGAGCTCTCAAATCCAGAGCACTTGTGCTCTACGGGAAGGGTCAGGATTCTGCTTGGGTTGGCTGACCTCTCCCGAGCTAGCCACCGTGCTATCTCGCCTGCTCTCTCCTCCCTCCCCAGGATCCTCAGTTGTTAACTGGTTCCAGATAGTCTTTTTATACTGGGAATTCTTGTTAATGGAAGTCCTGAGTGGGATGCAGATCGTAATGATAATTAATGAGGAGAACCTTTAATAGAAAGAAGCAGAGCCGTTAAAGCAGTGGGCGTCCCGCTTTCAGAACACAGTTGGTGTCCAAGGAGCAGAGAAATGTGTCTTGTCGCACTTATTTCCCTTATTAAACCCAGCAGGTGGCCTGTGCAATGCTGCAAGTCCTAGCTGCAGTGTGGATATTTATAATGCACCCATCTTTGTCGTACTGGAGTGCTTAAACTTGGTGTGTTAATTAGCCTGATGGCTCCCTTTAGGTGCTTAGCTAGCAGAGAGGCAGTTGCTGGGCACGCTCTGTCTGCGCAACACTCTCAGCGTCTCCTGGGAAGAGGTGGCAGATTCTGGTGGGTTGTCTCAGCATAGCTTGGATCTTGCCCTCCTAGAGAAGCATTGCTATTTCCTACAGACCGAGCTGGAAGCAGTTTATTGTATCTAGGAATTGCTAGAAGTGGTCACACTCTTTGTGACCTCCCCTATAGATGAGTGGAAGAGAAGTTTCCAGCATGCTGGGTCAGATGTCTGATTAAAAGTAACAGCTATCCACCTCCTTCAAACTCCTGCCTTGCAGCGTGTCTATATCCGATAGTTTGAAGATGCCCTCAGACTGCCCTTAATCCCAGTCTTGCTGTCCAACTTGCTGTAAGAAACTCCAGGCGTAGCTCAAGCTCTTGGGACCCTGCTTGTCTAAGTCCGCCCTGTGAGCCAGTGTAGGAGGGTGCTGTCTGGGGACGTAATCACCTGCAGGCAGCTTATGGGGCAGCGCTGTGGGTAACAGCCTGATCAGAGGATAGGGGATTGTCTCAGGAATGGCACTTTTCAAAGGAGCAGGGTGCATCAGGTCACCCCCATTTAGTGAAGTTCCCCATGTTGATAAGCAGAGAGGAGGCAGCAGTGCAGTCCTGTGCTCTGACTTCCATGTAGTGACCCTTTCTCATCCTGTGGAAAGCCTTTCTAATGTGTGTTATTTCTCCTTGCTTTCCCGATTCTCTTTTTCCTAGATGGAACGGCAGCGCCTGGCCCGAGAGAAGCAAATGAGAGAAGAAGCTGAGAGGACAAGGGATGAGCTGGAGAGAAGATTGATGCAGTTAAAGGAGGAGGCAACGATGGCCAACGAGGCTCTGGTAGGTCTCTGGGAGGTTGTTTCCCGAGGCACTGCAGCTGTTCCTCACTCTTTCCACTACTGAAGCATTTTAGGAGGCACACTGTGACTGTCCTATTCTCAAACTGCTGCTGGTGGACGGTGATCAGGAGGCTGGATGGAGTTGATTTCATCCTGCTAGCCTGCTGTGGCAGGAGCACAAAGGAGGATGATTTGGGACAGAGCCTGGGCACATGCAGGTCTTGGCTGCAGGCTCTGATGGAAGGGAGGGACTCTATGAGCCATGGCAGCCGTGTGGAGCGAGCAGCTCAGGGCCCTGCCCCAGGGGTTGTAAGCACATTCGGGGAGACATACAGTGTGCTTGATGGCTTAATGTGCCTTAATTCTCAGATGAGGTCTGAAGAGACAGCAGACTTGCTGGCTGAGAAGGCTCAGATCACGGAGGAGGAGGCCAAGCTCCTGGCTCAGAAAGCAGCTGAGGCTGAACAGGAGATGCAGCGAATCAAAGCCACAGCCATCCGGACGGAGGAGGAGAAGCGGCTGATGGAACAGAAGGTGCTAGAGGCAGAGATGTTGGCACTGAAAATGGCGGAGGAGTCAGAGAGGAGGTCAGAGGGTACAACCTTGCAGCTGCCTCTGCTTTGCTTTCCAACCCCCTTCTGACTTAGCTGAAACAGTGGCTCATGCCTTGAGTTAGTCCATCCAACGGTTTGCAGTGAGCCCTTGGCCTCCCGTGCATGTGCAACAGCAAACAACCCCAAGGCTCAGCTGGTTTCTCTCTCTCCATCTCACTGTTTGCCACAGCTGGGCTGTCCCTGAGTGGGAAACGGTGCTGGCAGGGCAGTGGTAGCTCTGATCTTTCCCTGGATCGGAGCTGGAGACCCTTCTCTGAAGCCTTCTTTGGGAGAGATTCTGTGGTGAAAGCAGCAGGGAAAGGGGCCGTCAGCTAGTGGGGGAGAAGGTACTGTGGTCCTTGGCACTCTGCCTTCCACGCCTCTCACGCCCTGACAGCAGCAGCAGGAGCCAGCTCTACTTTTGGGTGATTTTTGCGAACACCCACTGCATAACACTTGGGTTTGTTTTTTTTCTTCTGGATGGTAGATTCACATTTTCTATTTTCTCTTTATTCCTCTATTTACCTCTCAGTTGTTTAGTTCTCCTTACCAGTTGTGAGGTCTCTGTTTCAGGTTAGCCTTGAGGTCTCCCTAGCTCCTGGAGCCCTTGCTTCTTGTTAAAACTGGTGTTTCCATCCTCTTGATACCAGAGCCCAAGTCCCGTGGTGCATTTGGTAGTGAGCAAGTAAAAGATCATCCATGTTTCCTTCCAACTGATTACTCCTTTCCATGTGAGAGCTTGCTCGGTGTCAGCCCTTCTGCTTGGACGAATGCTGCCCTTGTCCTTCTCTTCTTGCCTTGGTCTCTATCTTGTGAAGTCTCCACTCAAATTTCAATCTGGCAGAGAAAGCGTCCTTCCCTCCTTTGGCTTTCTCCTTGTGGGGGGTCCTTGAGCCTCAAGGGTAGACACTAATTCTAGAATTGTTGGGCCCTGCGAGTAGGCAAAGCTTTCCAATCTTGGGTACTTTTTGCTTTTTTAATGTAGTAAATAATCATTAGTAGAGACTTACTTGTCATAAAACTGCCTCTCCTCCTGTAAGTCTGAACTTAACTTCCGAAGTTGTTCTCCCCATTCTGGCATCTTGGCACACTTCTCCAGCCCTTAGCCTTGCTCGTTGATGCTCATGCAGAGCCCGTGTCAGAGCTGCCCTTCTGTGGCTTGGGTTTTTGTGCAAATTAAAATGTCCCACATGTCAATGGTTCTGATTTCTTAGGTTAGGGCTTGTTGCAGGACAAATCTCAACCTCTTCCACACCTACACTGTAATCTTGCTTCTCCATCTTTTCATTCCTCTCAACTTCAATCTAACATTTGCCATTTGCTATTTTTCTTTGTAGGGCGAAGGAGGCTGATCAGCTAAAGCAAGACCTTCAGGAGGCTCGCGAGTCTGAGCGGAGAGCAAAGCAGAAGCTTTTGGAGATCACCAGCAAGTCATCCTACACGGTAAGAGCAATCTGTATTGTGGTCTCCAGTTCCTAGCCCATAAATATGCCCTCCTCTGTAGCCTGGAGGAGTCTAGTATCTCCATCCTGTCAGTGGAGGGGTACGAACTATCTCATTGCCTTGCTTAGCAGCTGTTCAGAAACGCTTAGCAGTGCTTGCCCTTTTCATCCAGGCACCCTATCCAGCAGAAGATCACTTTGCTCTTTTTTCTTTCCCCCCACCTACTCTGCCTCATGCTGCAAGAGCAAGTGAGCTGCTGGTGAAATTAGAGGCAGCAAATTTTAAACCAATTTAACAAACATGTCAGAGCTGTGCTTTGCTGGCATTTGTGGAGTGTACCAGCTCAGCAATAGCCTTTAAAATAAGGTTAAATACTTAGAAACAGAGATGTCCTCATTCTTGTTAGGTAGGATAAACATTGTTCAGAACCTGTAAATTCATTCTTTGGGCATAAACTGGCTACTGTGCATCTATGTGCTGGAAAAAAAACTTCCTTGAAGGGGGATTATTTAATTGCCCATAAGAGGATTTCGCACCTTCCTCTGAAGCATCTGGTCCCAGTTGCTGCTGGGGTCGGAAATGCTAGACTAAATGACCATTGCTCCGATCTGTCTGGCAGTTCCTTTCCTCAACTTCTCCAATTGTGCTGTAGGGCCTGCAAAACCCATCAAGTGCTCCCCTCCCCGCGGCTCACACCTGCCACAGCTGCCAGTTCAGCTGCCTCGCTGTCCTGAGAGGCAAAGGGGAAGAGCTTGACAGCTTCAGGAATAAACTCAGCAGACATACATGGGAGTTATCGACCTATCTAGTACTGAAGTTTAAATTTGCACCTGCAGGCTCCTTCCCCCCTCCTCTGGAAAGTTTTGAGGAGCAGATTGAGGAGAGCTTGAGATGAAGTAACTTTTCATCCCAATTCTCTGAAGTTCCCTGCAAAAATGTTCAGAAGCTTTTAAAAATGACAGTGATGGAAAATAGTCAGGTGCTCTTAGTTATGGGACACTAAGTCAAGTGCTACCTACCTCAGTGCTTGATAAAGCTTAGCTTTGGAGTGCTCCTTATTTTACAAGTCACTAGGATTCTGAGATCCACTAGTTCTTTAATTCTGGGTTTAACTTGTGCACAGGGTGGAGTGTCCTCATTGAAACTCTACTGCATGGCTACATCAGCCCAATGTTGACGTTTGGGCAGCTCTTACACATCCATGTTCCTTCATGTTGCTGTGTCTATCCTTAGTCAAATGGGCAGAACCACAGCTAGCGAGCCCTTCTGTGTAAATCTCCGTGCCTGTGCTGGTGAGCAGCCGGGTGGCTGTGTTCCTGCCTGCGGAGTTAAAGCCTCATTAGTGGGAATGTTGTAGGGTTGCATGGAGCTCAGCTCCACCCCTCCAGCTGCATCTGCCTGGAGGCAATCCATGCTAAACTGCCTCATCCAGACATGTGGCATTGCATCCTCTCCCTTCCCTAAAGAGCTTTGGCCTTCCTGACATGGCTGCTGGTGCCAGGAGGGAAGGGGACATGCTTTTTTCCTCCCCAGTTAGGTGGCAGGATCCCCTCATGCAGCTGCCACTCCTCCTGCCCCTCTTGTAGCCTCGGGAGGAGCACCATGTCGCACAGACTTGATGGCTGTTGTTTTCCAAGGTCAGGAGGATGCAAGTGTGACTGTTGTGCCCATATCCAGGTGACAGAACCTTGCTGGGCTTTCCATGCCCTGTTATGCCTGCCTCGCTTCTCCCTTCCCCTGTGGCCTCTCTCATCGCTCTGCTGCGTGTGTGTTTGGGGGCAGACAAGTGAGATGTGCTGAGATCTTGTTCCTGTGCACCACTTCAGAGAGCTGGATTTGGGCGAGCCTTCCTCCCCTGCCAGCGCACGGAGGAACCCAGTGGGCAAGCGCAGCCCAAGGGAGGGAATAAGCCCAGGGTGGCCTGAGGGATGAAGCAGTTTTGAAGGCTGCTGTTGGGACGCTCGTGTCCCTCAGGTGAATGGCAGCTCTGACAAACAGTGGAAGATTCCAGCTCCTCTCTTCCTTAATGAGGGTGTAATGCTGAGCTTGTTCTTTTCTGTGGTCCCAGTTCTTGTGCTGTGTTGTCCCCTGGCACTGAGAGCTAGACAGGACTTCCCTCTGGGGGAACAAGAGCAGGAGAGGAAGGGAGGAATGGATGGATGCATTGCAGAAAAGGCAAGAAACAGTTAATTATTTTTTTTTTGAGGGGGGTAACTTTCTAGTCTCCCATCCTGGTTCTTTAAAGTTTGTTTCAGTGTCTGTTTAGTCCTTGAAGCCCAAGCTGCTTTTGTGATGGGACTGATAGGTGATGCATGGGAAAGAAGATGTGTATCTGAGTCTCAGGCCATCAGGGCTGGGAGAGCAATTCATTCTTTACTGACTTGGTGACGGCTCTTTGCCTCCTTCATTGCCCTTCAGGTACCACTCATGGCAAGACTAAAGGCAGTCGTCTCTTCTCTGATCCTCTTGAAGTAGTAAGTGGCCGTCTTGAGCTTGCCCAGATTCCTGAGCAGCAAAGTAAAGGCAGTGGCAGCAACAGGAGGAGCTCTCCCTGTGGGGGAAGCCTCATGACATGACTTGTTCTGTGCTTCCTCTATTGTCTGTCTCACTTGCTCTGTACTCCAGAGGGATGACCACTGTCAGTGTGGTGCCTGCCTCTATTAACTGCAGGAAATTGCTTTAATGCAGTAACAGGGTTACGCAGTTTGTTCCAGGTGAGGAAACACATAAGGGAAAACGTTTGTGTCCCCTTTATCACCCCATGTCCTGGTGACACCCCATGACCCCTGGATTAAAAATCTTTGCACCTTGTGCAAGACTTGTCCAGGATTATTGCAAATGGCAGGGAAGTGCTTTGCTCCAGATATTAAGCCTGTGCCTTTGAAAGCCCTCAGCATGCTCTTTCTTTGCTCTTTCCTTACTCTTCCTCACTGCTGCTGCTTTCTGACTTCTCCACCAATTTTTTTGGTTGCTACATGAAAGAGTAGTGCTGAGGAGAGGCGAGGAAGTGGCTGTAGTAACCCTGACAGATTGGCATCTGGGCTTAATGATTGCAGCAACTGAAATTCCTGCTCAACTGTTACTGCTGTTGTTTGGGGTTTTTTTTTAAAACAAAAAACAACAAGCTTGTGCTGAAAAAAATGCTAAAGGTTGTTTGAAGGCCAGCAGGCTGGTTCTGATGATCCTGGCTCCCCCGCACAGCAGAGATCGTAGAACCTCACGTGGGAAGGGCTTTGCGAACACCTGTGTGCCTTACAGGGAAGGGACTTGAATGTCAATGTGATGCAAGTATTTAAATCAGTTAAGTGCTTTGGCAGACCTGTCCCCTTTCCTTCGAGACTGGAATTTAGGTACTCATCTGTCCCTTTCAGCGCCTGTTCCAGAATTAATGCGGCTGTGTTCCACACTAGCAGCGATCGCAAAGGGGAGTAAGAAATCGTGTTTCCTTGTTGTGTGAGTCTAACCTACCTGTAATGCTCCAGCCAGGCCAAGCAATGCAGTTTCAGGTGCCACCTTGTTTATGCTTGTACTAGGTGTTTGTGTTCCAGCTTTGCTTCTGCAGGGTAAATGAAATGTCGTCCCTCTCAGGTTTGTCCAGCCAAAGAGCAAGTGGGGGACGAGCCCTGGCTGTTTGTGAATTCCAGGCTGGCAGTGAGGGAAGAGGCAGGTTATTGTGCAGAGTAAATCTGTCACTTCCTCAGCGCTAGTGGTTCTTGCTGAAGTGGAGCTAGCTGCCAGCAGTCCCTGGAGTATCCCAAATAGGAGAAATGAGGGAAGGAAATAACCGGCTGAAGCTCAAGATCTCGTTTGTTGGAGCAGGTACCCTAGAACCATCCCACCAGCTTTTGGTGTGTGCTGCCAGAGCAGCCTGTCTCTGCAGCACCATCTCCTGCCATCCCTCCAGTCCAGGCTGGTTTGGGCATGTTGTTTTCATTACAGGAATCCCTTAAGGCAAGAAGGAGCATCTAGCAGAGAGGTGGGTGACCTTTTGGATGCTGTGTTGGATTTCTTATATCCAAAATAAGGGCTAAGCATGCTGGCAGCAGTTCTGACTCAGATCCACACGCACAGTCTGCCATCTGAAGCTGCTCTGCCACCCTTGATGTGTGCCGCTGCTTGCAACCTCATCTAACGTATTGCAAGAGCAGAGTGATGACTTGTGTCAGGATGCTTTTCCTCTACTGGTAATGAGCCCATTTATTAGAGGTGTGACAGAATTTTTGACTGAGAGAATAGTCATTTTTTTAAGGAAAGATAAAATCTGATGGCCAGGCAGCATGTGTCAGTGGGGAATATCACAGCATTTTGCAGGAGGAAGAAAGTTCCAAATCCTTGCTCAGGTGTGATATGAGTGATTCTCTATGTTATCTCTGCATTTCCAACTGAATCTAGCAGTGGTTCCTAAACGCTTGGAACTGTAAATTACTGTGAAGATGAAAATGTATTGGTGCATCTCTGTGGACCTTGCTGAAATTGCATCCCAAGTTAACCCTTGGGGTTACGTTGTTCTTTGCTCACACTTTGGGGAGCGGTGGAGTGCAGGACTCTGCTATCATACAGGGACTTGTGTTGCCCCTGTTCACAGCTTGCACTTTTTAAATGCGATTTAATGTTAAATAGTTGTCAGGTGTCTTCCAAGAGGCAGCTTCTGTCCAACGTTGTTTTAAGTGGCACAGCAGTGATAAAACCTAGATTTTACCAAGTTTTGTCAATAGATTTTGAAGGCAGGTGGTGTTTTTTCTTCTCTTTACTACTGCAGAGAGCAGGGTCCCAGAAGAGCAATAGCTCTGAATTGAAGAGCAAATTGGGAATGGAGCAAGGGGATCTTCAGGCTGATCTGGTGCTTGGGATGTTGGGCTTGTTTGTTGCTCTGCTTCTGCAGCACCTTGGAGTGCTTGCCATCCTCTGTGTTAAAAGATCACCAGCTACAAAAGAACCTCCTAATCTTCTCTCCAGAAAGCTTGAGGCTGGTTCAGACAAATGGGGTTGTGGGCTGTGTTGCATCAGGAATGCACGTGTGCCTTCCCTTTCCCCATGCAAATGATGAGATCCTTCCAGTTTGGCGCCGCTGCACGGTAGAATAGACCCAGCTCCAGGAACAGTGTGTTGTTACCTCTGTGAGTAGCAGATCAGGACCTTATTACAGCATTAGTAAGTAGCACCTTGAGCTGCATTTTTAGGTGTTACTCTGATTTTACCTCTGTGTTACAGAACATTTGCTATAGGAACACTTGTGTGGCCAAACGTGATTAATTTGTACTCTCTCTCACTTTAGCAGTCCATGAACTCAAGTACAACAGCACTGCCTACCGACCTGCCAAGCTTCAACCTCATCAATGAGAGCCTGTCCTTTGACTTCAAGGATACGGACATGAAGAGGCTTTCAATGGAAATCGAGAAAGAGAAGTATGTGGCATGCGTCCAGTCCGGGTCAGGGCTGGGATTTGTGCCTCGGTTGCAGTGGGAGGAATTGCACCAGGGCTGAATGTGACTTTTAGGTTCCAGACAAGCACCGGTGTGAGGTGGAAGGGGGAGAAGTCTTTTGGATTCACTTTTACCAAGGTCATTAGTAGCTCTGCCCAGAGCATGATGTAGCTACTGACTGACTGTTTCTCTGGGTGGGGACCTGGTGTCACAGATGCGTCTCTGCTGCCTGCTTAAAGGCGAGTTTAAGCATGCTGAGCCCTGCACCCGTCAATTCCTCTCCATATGGTTAACCTGACTCTTGTTTTAGGCTTGAATTGTCCGTGTTGATAGAAAGAGTTAACAGCAGTCTGACTGCTGGTGCACTGAGCTATTGCACTGCTGAGCTATTGCAGGCTGGTGCTTGTGCATTTGCAGTGTGTCCAGAAAATGTGAGCTAAGGTCCCGTGTTAGGGCTTTAACCCTTTTTCTTGAAATCTGTGTCATGTTTATATATAAAAAGTGTGTGCAAGCAAGTTTGGATGTGATTATGAGCTTTGATCTTGTGTTTTCCTGAGGGTTTAAGTGTAGCCTTCAAAATTACAAATTTAGCAGAAATCAAAGCAGATCAGATTTTAATCTCTGTAGTAATAATGTACTTTGTTCATCGATTGGGTAGTAGATCAAAGCTAGAAGGGCTGTGCCATAGCGCTCCGGCCAAAACTTCCTGGGGCTGGAATGAAATGCCCCTGGATCCCACAGGGTGGTTTATTTTGCCTGTGCTGAGTACCCTCTCCCATGTATGAAATAACAGACCACTATGCCAGAGACAGAGGTTAAAAACTTTTCCTAAAGCCAGAAGGAAAAAGATAGAAGCTGAAAATAACAGGATAATTCCTGGTTCTGTACCCAGGTTGCTAACTAGGTCATCCCACTCTCCTAAGCAGGAAGAGCCTGGCTCTGCCAAATGCTAAAAGCAATAGCATGCTTTTGCTGACTTCTCCGGGACTGTTCGGCTTCCTTGGGTGCTGAGATAAACCTTGCTACAAATTTTGGCACTCTGAAAGGGTTCTTGTTAGTCTGCTGGTACTTTGACCTGGATCTCAGTGTTTAATCACAAGTACAAGGCTGGCATGGTGTGATTTTTCTCCAGTCAATGCTTCCTTGTGGAAGGCAGTTATGGCCAAGTCCCAAGAATGGCTGGGTTTGGGGTTTTTTTTCTTTTTCTTTTTTTGGAGACCTTTCTTTCTCCCAGGGATACTGTGTGTCTAAAAGATACCTGATATTTTGGGGGCAGTGCTTGCTCCCACACGGTTTACAAGCTGAATCCCTCTGAAACATGAGAAGTCAGTACATCAGGGTCCTTCCTTACTGAAAGGATTCGTGCCTTTGAGTTTGTGAGCTGGGTTTGAGAGAGGGAGCGGTGGAGTAGAGAAGCGCTTAAACCACTATCTTGTAGACTGAAACTGTGCAATGTTAGCCTATGTCATGGTGCAGCTTCACTCAGAAATGGGGAGATTTACAAACATCATCCAGCAGCTCCAGCTTGACTTTATTTTTTTATAGTAATGGAACTCAGTTTTGTTCTTGGGTCAGCAGTCTGGGTCCTCTTTTTAATAATGAACAAGTCATTGCTCAGAGTAGTTTACTGTGTGCTGTAAACTAATGTCAGTTCCACACACCAGAAATGATGAAGCTAAGGGTTTTCTGTTATAATTCCGTTATCGGCTGCCACAGGATCGTGTCACTATCTGCCGCTGGCCAGCACTAACCCAGGACTTTTTTGTGTATGCTAGGGTAGAGTACATGGAGAAAAGCAAGCACCTGCAGGAGCAGCTGAATGAGCTGAAGACAGAAATTGAGGCACTGAAGCTAAAGGAGAGAGAGACAGCTCTGGATATATTGCACAACGAGAATGCCAGCCGAGGCAACAGCAAGCACAACACTATTAAAAAGGTATCGGAGGCCTCCAGTTTGTATCTCGCCTGATGAAATCCTTTAAAAACAACAACAAAATAACCCTTCCGTTTGGTTTAGCTTTTGCACAAGTTGTTATAATAAAATTGTTTGATCTAGGCTTTCTTCCTGGGCTGCTTAGCTTCGAACCAGGGTGCAGAGGATTTCAGCTTCTGGTGGTCCTGCTTATATTTGCCACAATCAAATCTTGTCTCTTCAGTGCTATGTGAAGGGATGCAAAGGTCTTGAGGTTTGAAGTTCTTGCTGAGCCTTAACAAGAGCTGTACAGGGATGCTGTTAGAAGGGATCTGCTACCCTAGTGACCCCAGGAGCAGGAAAAGCCCTACCTGCCTATTGCAATCATTCCCTACAGGCAAGCAGCGTTGACCTTATCTGGTGAATAATGCGGGCAAAAATACTCCTGACTTATGGGCTCTCAGTAGAAAAAGCCAAAAGCCTCATCCTCTCTTTTAATCTGTTCTTGAGTAACCTGTAGCGCAGCTTCAAATACTAACAGCAAAACCTTTTGCTAGCAGGGTGTGTGCGAGATGTCTGCTCCCTTGTGCTGTGGACCCTGGAACCACCTGCCTCTAGAAATGTGGTTGAGATGAGTAACTTAGCCAAAAAGTTAGGATGTCTGGATCTGCTAGCCTGGGGGGTCACTCCTGAAAGGTCACAACAAAGCCCGTTCTTTATTTTTATGTCCTGTCCTTTTCCTTTGCTTAATAGCTCTGCTGTTCTCCCAGTTGGGCTCAGTGGAACAAGGGACTGAGGGCACATCCATAATTGGTACAGTGGTTTGTAGTGGTCAGCCCCACTCACCTGCAAAGGCTTTTAGCCAGCTGGCTTTCTTCAGCTAGCAGTTGTCCTTGTGAAGGATTCAGAAATCTGTATGGCATGGGATGCAGGCTGTGATAACAACTCCATGTTTTAAAACCAAATCCTTCTCTCTTTACTATTCCCAGCTGAGAGTTACGTCTGAAAAGATTTGAAAATATCAGTTGATGCCGACTTTCATGGGTGGGAGTTTGTGATCACTGAATTGGGGCAGGAAAATTGATCTAGCAGGTCTCACTTCCTGGTTTCCCCACGCTAGCCTTGAGCTATTCGGGTTCCTGTCCCACCAGAGCAGAGAATATAAAAATCATCACAGGCCCTTTTGTCATCATAGAATCTGAAGACATTTCTGCTCCCAGTAGGTTTTGTTAGGTTTTGTCTCCGTGCTCAGAGTCCTTGGTTTAAACGGAAAATGCTAAATTTTAACTTCTGACAGAGACGAGTTCATAGAGAGCTGATGGTCCCATTTGTCTCACTTAAAGAAGGTGGCTGGGCAATCATTTCAATGTCTGTCAGGGCTCATCGCTGTAATTGGGACCGTGCGGTCAGTTTTCGTTCCTTTGAAGCTCGAGTCTTGTTCTGTCCCCTCCCTTCAGGAGGGAGCCAAGGCTGCCCGGCTCCTGCATCTTAGCTGGAGGAGCAAAGGTTTTGAAATAATAGTCTATTAGTGGAGCACATCAGAACAAAATTGCAGACTGCTTTTGTTCATGCCACCAGGAGGTCAAGAGGGCTTTTGTCTTTACAGTTGTGATGGAAAGGAAAATGCAAGACACTGGAAATGGAAAAGGGGATAGCAGTTTAGCAATACTTAAATAATACCAACCCTCTACCCCACCTGGAAGCTGCTGATCACTTCAGCGCTCTGGGCAAACTGTACAGATTGCACAAATGACCTGACATTACTCGTATCACAGAGGATTTTTTTGTTGTTGTTGTTCATTTTATTTTGCTGGTTTAGCCTCAAGCCCAGGGCAGAAGACCTATCTGCATTTGAGACTGCAAAGTAGGTTATTCCAAGGTACTCTGCGTGGGGAGATGGGATCACTGGCCGTAATACTAACCCGTGCATGAGCTTGCCTGCGATACGCACTGCTCTAGCCAGCTCCCATTGCTGCCACCCCTACAATGCTCCTTATGCACCGCAGTGGGGTGCGGTGCCGGTGAGACCGGGCTCACCACGGCACAGCACCCTGCCTGTCCCCATGGTGAACCCGTGCAGCATGTCGCAGGCAGCCGCCCTGCCCGGCTCTTGCTCCCTCGGTAGCGTTCACAGTCTCTCTGCATTTTTGCACCTGATCCTCTGTGTTGGGAAGCGTCTTTCTTGGCAGAAGTTGAGTTGGCAACATCATTGGGGAGTGCAGGCGTAGATGCTTAAATAATTAAACGTGCCTGGTTTTGCTGTGCTGCTGGTGGCTGGGAATATATTGGAGGTGCAGGGTGGCCTTTGAAGATTTCTTTAGTGAAGTAAACCAGGACCTTCCCCCTTGTTTGCCGCAGAAAGAAATTCAGGATTTAAAAAAACCCAAACAAACCCCGTCAACCCTCTGCTGCCAAAACTGTCATAACAGGCTAAAAATGCACACCTCCGTCTAGGAGCGGAGCAGCACGTGGACGCATTATGAGCGTCTGCCTGTTTGAGAAGTATCGCAGGAACATAAAGCAGACGGTTGAGGACAGCCGGTGTCTGCAGGTAGCTCTTAGGCAAGGCTGCAGCTGGGGGTGGTCCATGGAGACTGTGCTGGAGGTAGTGCCGTTGGTCACCATCAACGCCTAGGGACACCGGCTGTCAGCTGCTTTCCTGCCTGCCTGCGATGCCGCTGCCTGTCCCCTGCCTCCTTCAGCACGCTGGTGACTCCTGCTCTGTTAACGTCATGTCTCTTTTTCCGGAGCCTGCTTTCCTCCAAGGATTTGCCCTGAATCCGCAGGCTGTGTGTGTGTGCAGAGCATTGACTCCCTCCTTCAGGAGGATGAGTTTGGGAAAGCTTTTTTGCTCTTTCCTCGACCGTGGTTCTTGCACACCCACAGGGTTTAGCGAGTTTCGAGCGGCAGCGCTAAGGGAAGAAACGGCACAGATGCTGCGGTAGCAGCGTTCACGAAGGCGGGTGGTAAACCTGGTGGTAAGCACCTTTGGAAAAGGCTTTCGTTAAAAGTTACTCTGAGGGCTTGCACAGCCCTGCCTGCGTGGGGGGCATGTACAGCCAACCATGGAGCAATTTCCCCGCACCTCTGGAGCTCTGTGGCAGAGGCAGGAGGATGCTTTAGATGCAGACTTCTCCCTGGCGGGTACCCAGAAGCTATCAGCACAGGTTTGTGCCGTTCTTGAATAGACCAGCCCTTTCAGGGCTGCAGGCAGCACTGTAAATCACTCAAGTTAGGGTTTTGTGCCGGCTGGCTGCCGCCAGTTGCTCTCTGGGGGGCTGCGGGTGTTCCCAAGACAGGCTGCTCTCGTTTTTAAGCATTTCCTTGGGAAAAAGGGTAAAATGAGGGGTGACCCTGCAGGTCTGGGCCACCTTGAGGGGAGGCATTGGATATCTCTTGGGGCAGGCTGGCCATGGTTGAAACACGCTGTCCCGATCCCACTGGTTTGAGGAACTCCATGGCAGGTGAAATTGGGACGAAATCCACTTGTGGCCACAGCATAAGGAGATTAAATGAAGCCCTGGCAGTTTGTGAAAAGACTAATCCAGCAGCTGGGAGTGATTCGGTGCCTGGGAGGAGCCCCCATAATTAAACCAGATGCACAGCAAGTGCTGTGGTGTGACCTCTGGGTTTTGTTGCCTGCCTTTGAAGACGCCTGCTAAGTTTTTCATGTTTAATTACGTGGTTAACATGCTAATCCTTTTTTATGAGCTCTGTGGGCACAGCACAAGTACCTCATCTGGAAACTGATTTCCCTTCTCCGTAGCGCTCTGCGCTGTGGGTTGGTGCTGCTAACTCCAGCTGGCTCAGCTTCGGGAGGGTTTGCCGCTTATGCTGTGGTAGAAGATGAAAAAACCCACTTCTTCCTTGCATCCTCCAGTGTAGGAAGACTCCCAGGACAGGCTGCTGCTCTAAAACACAATTGAGTCTTTCATTCCAGTTGCTTTCTTCTTGCACAGTCATGCTTATTTACTGTGATTTAAGCCCTTTGAAGTATCCAAGGCAAGGAGCAAATCTCCACGCCTGTTTCCAGACAAGCGGCTTTGTCCTTGAGCAGTACTTTGGTCCTTCAACAGGCAGGCTTGGCCTTTCCCTGCCAGGCTCTCACGCAGCTCTCAGCTTTTTCTCAGATGCGGTGTTTCTCTGGGGCTCAAGCTCGTTCCTTGGGGCCAGCACTTTTGGTGCCCATGGGGATTGTGCGGACATTGGTGGTGGGGTGAGGTGTTGCTGACCGTGCTCTTGCTGGTTCTTCTCCTGGCTGATCCTGGTTGTGGTGCAGCATTGCCCTCAACTTGGGTAATGCAGGATTTTTTCCTATCATTGAGGCACTTGTTGTTTGGATAATCTACTTCAAATCTGCTTATTTATCACCAGTAGACTAGTCTGGGATTCCTCCCTCATTGGGCCATGAACAGTCATGTTCTACCGCATTCCTATGGATGCAGCATCGTCCCCTTCAGGTTTAGGCAATGAGCAGCTCCTGGCTGCCAAGCACGGAGGGGCGAGCGAGGCAGAGCAAAGAGGATTTCTGCAGGCTTGTCTTCACTCCTCTGACCTTCAAGATATGCTGTGGTCTGTCCTCTACAGCAGTGTAAGGACACTGCTGAGTTGGTGATGGGCACTGCTATCAGAGCCTCTTGTGATGCAGATATGAAGCTGCTGTGCCACCACCAAATGTCATGAGGCTACTTAATCATCTGGGCAGGCTGAAGGTTTTCAGGAGGCTGGTGCTGGGGCAGACGGCTTTCCTCTGCCTGTTTTCCAGCTGCGCCTGGCTAGCATCTTGCTAGGGAAGGAGACTGAAACATGTCCCTCGAGGACTTCAACAAATCTTGTGGGGTCTCTGTCATCTTCTGGGGACTCCCTTCCTCATCTCTCCCCTTCTGGGTCCTGCAGACTCCCCTGCATGAAATGGGTCCGCTTCGCTCCAGTGGTTTGCTGGGGAGATGGAGGACCACAGCCATTTCGGGGAAGGAGAACGTTATTGTGCCTCTGGACCTTAATCCCGCAGAGGGAGGGGACCAGGACAAGAAATACTTCTGCTCTGGGAAGGGCAAAAGGAGGGAGCCTGGGTGGTACAGAGCAGGCTGAGCCGCACACAGGTGGTTCCATCCTTTCCTGTGGATCCTGTGGTAGCCTGGACACGGATGAGGTGCTCTTTAGTCTCATGCAGAACTGCAGCATTGCCGTGGCATCACTGTATAATCCACTCCCACCAGGAGAGGGGAAGGCTGCATGCTGCAGAGTGGGCACACAACCAGCAAGGGACTTCCCAGGAGAAGCAGCACCGGTGTTTCCCATCCCCTCAGGAGCTGTGAGGGTAGAGAGAAAAAATGAGCGAAGATGCTGGCTTCTTGCCCTGCCTGGCACACAGCTAGGATGCAGGCGAGAGCCAGGAGATACCTGGTGAGTAAAGCAGCTCTAGACACCTCTGGGCACACATTTTCTGAGTGCAGGAGGAGATGGAGGTGCATCTCACGTGGGTCTTGCCCACATATACCCGTGTGTGCGAGGCTGTGTCCCTGCTAGGTTCATTTTCTTTCTGCCCTGGTTCTCCTCGGAGCTGGGAAGTGAAACTCCCTGGCAGCTAAACTGGGACACGGCAGCCTCCTTTCCTTGTTTACAAGGAGCGAAAGGAAACTGGGAAACGTCAGGCCTATCAGCTATTTTTGTGACAGCCTTTGAAAAGCATTTCCTTCAAATGGAGCGTCATCTTCTCTCTTTTAAACGCACTCATCAAAGCATTGGAGGCCGGGGGAAAGTTGTGCTTGGGAGAGAATAAACAGCAGCGTGGGAGTAACAGAGAAATGGCGAGGTGGGGACTGGAAAGGGGGTGGGGAGGGAAAAATAAGGTTTCAGTTTCAAAAGTAAATGTGGGAATTGAAAGGTCCACCTGGCTGGTGGGGACTGGGGAGTGGGCAGGGATGGAGAAGGATGTTCAGGGGAGCAGTGGGGGGAATAAAGAGGGTTTACTGTATGCAGCACAGGGCAATGATTTAGCAGGGACTGTAGATTTCCCTCCCAGCAGCAGGAAGATGTCCCCAGCATCACATGGGGTGAGGTGATGCCACTAGGGGTGACATGGGTCACCCTCTCCTCCAGCCTGGCCAGGCTGGAGGATAAGCAAGGAAACAGCAAGGAAATGAGAAATTGTAAACCTCTCCCCGTTCCTCAGGAGCTGGGAGGATGGGGGGGAAGGTTGATGTGATTTGCAGTCCCCTTCTGCCTGTGCCCCATCTCCAGTGCGTGGGAAGGGCACTGGCTCTGGTGGGCTTGCTGAGAGCCCGGGTGGTTTCTCTCTATTCAGTTTGCCCTGCCAGCAGAAGTTATGTGCCTGCGGTTATTGGGTTAGCCACTCTAAACCGCGTTTGGCTATGAGGGACTTATTGGGTTGCTTTTGTTTGTTTTTCTTAAATCAAATCAGTCCAGCAGCCCTGGGTAAAAGCAGAGCTCAGAGGAACCCCAGTGTAGGAATGCAGGGAGTGGGACTCTTCTCTTTCTTGTATCTTGATTCATGTGAGCTCTGGCCGCTTAATTGTGCTCCCTCTCTCTCTCTCTAAATTTTCTTTGATGGCTCTGGTAGTGCATTGTGGAGCCCACCCTCCCTCCTGCAGGAAGGAGATTATCATAATACTGCTTGTAAATCAATTTTTTTTTTCCCCTCTCCGCACTGACGAGAATGTAACTCGCTCTTAATCACTCTGCCTTGCCTGCACAACATTATGGTACGGGTGTATATGTATTTATTTCTCCTTGCCTGGCCAGGGAAAGGGGAGGCAGAGGGTGCGGAGAGTTTGCAGAGATGCTGGAGGCCACCTTAGGGCTTTCCCCCAGCAGACGATGGAGAGGCCAGAGCAGGACTGTGCTTTCCTCCCTGGCTGCTCTCCTCCTCCCTTTCACGTCCCGGTGCAGAAAAGAAAAGAACAAAACCAGTTGCTTCCTGTGTGAGGGAGTGGGATTTCCCTGCAAAGAGCTGTCTGGGGCTCATGCTTTTGCGGCCGAAAGCAGATGGGAAGCGAGCTCGGCTGCAGGGTTCTCCATGCCCACTGGCTTACGCAGCACCTCCATGTACCCCTGCAGCGCTGGGTGGGATGAGTCAGGCTGCCGTGGGGCTCGCTGCCCTCAAGAGCTTCCCTTGGGTCTGCCCGTCTTCCTCCAGCGCATCCCTCAGGTTTTGTCGATGCTGCAGCCGTGCCACACTCGCGTCGAGACCACCACACCTCACCTGAGCACGGCCTGCGGTGGGAGCAAGGATCACCCTGTCTGCAAGTGCTCAACAGCAAGAAAAACAAGAATAAAAGAAAGAAAAAGGGAGGGTGGGAGCTTTCCCTCCAGGCATAACGGAGCATCAGTGGTGGAGGGTCAGTGTGCAGTCAAGAGCAATCCTAATTTCCTCTCTGTTTATCCATGTGCCTGACTGTAATCGGATGTGAGAAGGCAGCTGCCTGAGAGCTGCTGGGCAGCCCCAATTCCTGGTGCGGGAGGTCCCACCGGTGGCTGCTGGAGATGCCTTCGCTCCAGGGGTCGTGAAGGCAGAGCAGCCTCAAGTTGCTGGCCACTGCCAAGGTCTTAGCCATAACCCAGCTCCTGCTAATGAGAAATGTGCCAACTGTGCCCGTATCCCACTCGTGTGATGCTTTTCTAACACCTTCCAGGTTACTGGGAAGAAAGACAGCCGGAGGCTCCTCTCCCGGGAGCCTAGATGGGAAGAAATCCTCCTGCCCAGACACCAGCACTGCACGAGTCTCCTGGCTTTCTCAGGAACAGCTAGAGCGTAACATGGGGGTGATGAGAGATGGGGGTGTGCCTCTGCCTCCGCTCCTCAGCAGGAGTGAGGGTGGCAGCACGGGTGCCTGCTCTGTTGCCGTTGAAATCCATGTGGTCTTTGCCTCTCAAATAGCAAAATCTGGCCGCTGCTGAGTGCCACCGAGCCATGGGGCATGGCCTTCTTGGAAATTCAGTGCTCTCACCTCTCTGTGGGACCCCGTCTTACCAAGAACCTGTGTTTGCTCCCTTTCCCTGTATGCCCACAGCTGGGCTGCTCTTCCTATGCCTCAGTTTCCCTCGATAGGTAAAAAAATTAACGCGGAACATCTCAGGGAGCCTTTGAAAGTCATGGATGAAAGCCCCTGCTGAAAGAGCAGGGCTGCATCTCTTCTTTCTCCTTGCGCCTGTGCTGGATGCCCTCGGAGCTCTGCCTCCACGTGCTTCCCACAGCACTGCAGCAGCGTTTGCTCAGGAAGGCACAGCTCTGGGCACAGCGGCTGCTGCTCGAGCAGTGCTTTGAGGTACCCCGGGACCGCAAAAGTGCACGGGGGATTAATGGAGAGCTGCGTGTAGCTAAAGGCAGAGAGCAGACTCGAAATAGTCAAATCTTATAAGCCTGGGGGAAACATCTTCCCTCTCTGCATCATCTGGCTCCTTTCATTTCTCCGTCAGAGCACTAAGTTTGCTGGGGGGCACCTGGGGGCATCTCCCCGTGCTGTGCTTTAACAGAGTGGCACTGTGAGCTGCCGTGGGCTGGGGAGGTGGTGGGATGCTTTGATTCACCATCCAGCCTGCAGAAGAGATGAATTCAGTGATGGAGCGTTAGGAAGTAGGTAGCTGGCAGGTAAATGTTCCTCCTTGGGGGTGTCTGGCCTCTCGGAGGTCTCCCCAGCCAAAATGGGAAAGGGAAGCTGCCCCATTTTGGGCTGTGGTGGGTGGATGGGCTCCGGTGAGAGCCCTGGCACTCAGGCAAACGTGTGGGACGGCTCAGCTTCACTCACCCCACTCCTGCCCCACAATGCCCCCTCGCCCACTGCCCTTCTCTGCTGGGGGACCGCAGTCCCCATCCTCGCACCAGGTCGTTGCAGCAGCCCTGCTCAAAGGGAAGGACTATGCTGCACGCCGCAATGTCCGCTCAGGTTTTGTACGCCAAATTCTCTGGCCTGTGACCCAGCCAGGTGTCAGCCTGGGATCACAGGCAGGATTTCTGCTGGAAGAGCTGAAATGAAGCCTGCACTGGGGCCATCAGTGGGGCTGGCAGCAGGCTGGGGCTGCCTGCTCCCTCCCCCCCCCCCCCCCCCCCACC